CACGTGGCGAATGACGCTAGAGACTACAGTTGTCCAGCTATGTAGTGGTTGAATGTACGTGTAAATAGATCACTTTGTTTTTTTTTCTGTTACTTAATATTATTGTAAATACAATTCTTAAAGTTCTGATATTATTATTAATAATATAATTTTTTAATTTATGATTATAGTAGAGCTATTGGTGAAGATCTCCATATAAAAGATGAAGTGGAAATTTATTCCTGTTTCGTTTAGTTATAATATAGTTCATGTATTAATAAGCAGAACGTTATTGATCTTTCTGTGACCTGCAATTTATTTAAAGCGAAATTGCAATCAAAACTGTTATCTGCACAATGATCCCATATTTTTAAATTATTATTGTTATTATTATAACTTTTTCTTACTTTTCATCCTTTTCTACAAAATTTTCTATTTTATTATTATTTTTCTCCATGTTTCTATTCTCTTTTTCTTTCCTTTCACCATTACCACACATGCACATATATTTTGTTTACTTCAGCCATCTAAAGTATCTAATATTTTAGAATTGTATAGGTTTTAACATCTCCTGATTTTCCAGTTCAGTAAGCTGATATATTAACCTTTTATTTCCAAAAACAATAACTGTAAAATGTTGTGCGATTGTACTTCAAATTGGAGATAATAAAAATTATTATTATTAGTATCGCATCTACGAAGACAAAAATGTAATGATTGAGTATTTGCAATGTTTAAAGTCAGTTTATTTGTACTGAACCAATTTTAAAAAGTTGTTTTGCTGCAACAGTTTTGGAAAAAATATTGTATCACTACAATTAACTGTGGTAGTTTCATCAGCAAATAGAATGACATTACTATTTGGTTCACAAATAAGTAAATCATTTATATATAGGGTGTTTCACATAAGGACCGACACAGAGCGGAGTTTAGTGTAAAGGTAAGTTGCATTAAACCTCTTATGCAAAACACCCTGTATATTAAAAAGGTATAGGACCTAAAATGGATCCTTGAGACACCCTATGTTTAATACTTCTTAATTCACATTTTAAAATGTAATAGTACAACACAAAAAGTAACAAAACATTGTACAAAGAAAACATACAAACAAAATCAAACACAAACACGTGTAATTCTACACAATGTGCCATGTATTTTCATTTACATTAATTTATTGTGTACAGAAAACAGTTTCAAATGTGTAAAGTGCATTGTAACTCTCCATAACTTTTATTTCAGGCTGAGATATTTTGTGGACCCATTCTCCACCAGACCGAAATTGTTCGAAGCTAGAAACGTTATCGGTAAGTACAGTCTGAAACGTAACATCGTGAAAAACCCATTCAGAATACCTCAAATTGAGCCGTTTTTTATTCCACAGTTGCTCAGGCGGCCTTCATCAAAAAATACGCGTTAAGGGTACCGAAACATATCAGTTTCGCCACGATCGGCATGCACCTCAGTCGAGAACTGGCGAACGTGGTGACCAATGGAACTATCCGGGAGAAGCAGTACTACCAGGATTTAATGACGTACACCAAGGATCTGCTAATTATCTACGCCAACTACACCTATAATGTCCAAGGCAGTACAGTTTTCTTCAACGTAAGTTTTATTTTTTTATTATCTTTGATTATTACCGTCCGTACATAACATGAAAACCTTAAACGGATTCAGAACACTGTGGTAATATAAATATACGTGCGAGAGGTATTAAAAGAAATATCCACCTAGCCATTACCACACTCATACATACACGTGTAATTAACATGATCAAAAATGAACTGATGGGGTTGCTTTGGGGCCATCCATCGGAAGGATATACCAGAAAAAGCTGTGAAAAAAAAAAACAAGATGACCAACAGAACACACAGATAAAATACAGGGTGGCCAAATGAAAACGAAACAGAGCCATTTTCAGGAACTGCGTCAAGATTGTAAAAAAACGCTCAGACCCGTCGATTTTAGATTAAAGGGGACATTCTTTGCTGGTATTTTTGACTCCGAGACTTTCACCCCCAAGCAAGGGTAAACATCACCCCAAAATATTTATATGGCATTGGGGTTGAGTAATATTTCTTTTAAAAGCTTTTACAATTCTCTTTACAACAGACTTTAAATTTTATAGTTCCGCCCAATACTTTGAAAAAAATTTACATTTAAAAATTTAAATTATGTTTAGTTGCTTACTTTTTTTCAAAGTATTGGGCGGAACTATAAAATTTAAAGTATGTTGTAAAGAGAATTGTAAGAGCTTTCAAAAGAAATATTACTCAACCCCCAATGCCATTTAAATATTTTGGGGTGATGCTTACCCTTGCTTGGGGGTGAAAGTGGC